CACTCTGTGCACTTAAAGTTAACAAACTTCCTTAGGCAGCTGACATAAAGGTTTATAGTTAGGAATGCCTGTTCCTTGTCCAGGAGCACTGGGAACAGCTATAATACAACCCTCGTGTTGTGCACGTGGGCTTCGAGACACATACTGTGGAAGTCTGTTATGTACTTATCCTTGAGCAAGTCTCCATGGTCTTGACCAAGTCTAGCCATCTCCTGACTACAGCGATAAGGAAATTCCTGTGTGTTTTGCACAGCTTAAGCACTAATCATGTGTGAGCTTTGTATGAACTATACACTGAGCTATCCTAGTAAAAGCTTCTTAGGATGCCCTGAGAGGTACTCCTGCACAACAGAGCCTGGAGTCCCCCGATCTTGTTGAGTCTTCTTTGATACTGACTTCAATTCCACAACTCTGTAGTGGAACCAAATGAACATCATCTCAAGGTAGGGGATAGGCATGATTCGGAATGAAAACTGGGTGTCTGGGGGGAACTCACGCATGTTGGAAAAATCCTCCGATCCCTTTTCCCTCACTTGGTCTCACAAAGACGGCAGCCATGACCAAGTCCTGCAGGCAGAAAGATCTGAAAAGCTGAAGAGGAGCATCCTAGAGAGCCTGCACTGGTGGTCCCTGGAGTGAAGGACTTCTGAGAGTACCTCAGGGGAACTACCAACCAGCCCTGTGCACGTTTGCCAGGCCCAACTTAGCACACAAGGATTCTGAGGAAAGAGTGAGATGAAAGGACTTGCGACACAGAGATACAATCAGCAAATACAGACAGCGGGGAAATCTGAGAGACAAACGGCCCAGTTTGGGCTGGAGAGATGGCTCAGAGGTTAAGAACACTGACTGTTCTTGAAGAAGACCAGGGTTCGAATCCCAGCACCCACATGGCAGCTAACAACTGTCCGTAACTCCAGTTCCAGGGGCTCCAACAGCCTCTTCTGTCCTCTGTGGGCATTGCACAACACGGGTGCACTTACCTACATGCAGGCAATACATGCATACACATAAAATAAAAATAATAAATAAATTAAAAAACAAAAAACAAATGGCCCAGTTTATTCAACATAGAAAAAAGGAGAGAAAGCTGCAGACACCCTGAGACTGAGGGCATTTATCAACCAACTGCATTCTGTGGGCCTTATCTGAGTATTGATTTGAATAACCTAATGCTTTTCAAGAAAAATATGACGGGGGTAAGAACAGGGAGGGGGCTAAAGCAATGGTCCTGTGGTTAAGAACACTGGCTGCTCTTGCAAAGGACCCACGTTTGGTTCCCAGCACTCATATGCCAGCTTAGAGCCATCTGCAGCTCCTGTTCCAGGGGATTCAACACCCTCTTCTGTCCTCCATGAGCACTCATGCATGTAGTGAATATATGTATGTACATATGTATATATATATATTATACATATATACATATATGTGAGTAAAACATTCATACACATGAAATAAAAATAAATGAATCTAAAAAAAACCCAATGGGTATAGTAGTGTAGGCCTTTAATCCCAACACTCAGGAGGCAGAGGCTGGTGGACCTCTGTGAGTACAGTGCCAGCCTGGTCTACACAGTGAGCTCCAGATCAGCCAGGGCTACATAGTAAGACTCTGTCTCAAAAAATTAAATTAAAAATATGAAACGATCAGAGCAATTTTAATATTAGTTGGATAGCTGATACTAAAAAATTAAGTGCTGGTTTTAGGGTATGGTATTAGAGTCCTTGTAGTGTAGAGAAAGATCCTCAAAGGTTTGTGGATAAAATGGTCCTGCAGCCTTGGATTTTCAAGACAATCTAGAATTGGAATTGTTTAAGTAAGTATAGTTACATAATGAAGAGAACATGAAATGTTTATCCTGTTCACTGTTTTAAATTTTCCACGATGGAGAAAACCTATTGCTAGAACCCTCAGAGAAGTCACTGAAATCCTAAGACAGAACTAAAGTGATACGTAAAAGAAATATTTTAGGAGCTGAAGAGATGGCTCAGTGCTTAAGAGCACTTGCTGTTTTTCCAGAGTACCTGCGTTCAGATCCAACACCCTCTTCTGGCCTCTTCAGGCACTGCATGCATGTGGTACACTTAGATACATGCAGGCAAAACACTTATGCACATAAAATAACAAATAATACTTTAAAAGGAACATTTCAGAAAGCTCCTACAAAGAAAAAATAATGGATATAAAATAACTGATAAAGAACTGGGGGGGGGGCGCTGACAGCCCACAAAGTACAATGAAATATCATTTCGAAGTGAAAATGAAAAGGTTTAAAAAAATTGAAAAAGGTCCAAAATCTGGGTAACAGCCACAGAAAGACAGCAAAAGAAAGAGAAAGAGAGGATACATCAACACACAATAATCTAAGAGAATTTCCCAAATGAAAGGCCATGGGTTTCAGAAAGAAAGAGATGAACTGGCTGTCTGACATGAGCTGAAGGCATTCACATTAAGGTGCACCTTGATTCATACCAGTTCCCACCACTGTGACCTGCACAAAAGTGGGACGAAAACATTCAGCAAACTTCTGATTAAAAAAAAACCCCAAAACCAAACCAGGTTACCTAGAGAAGATCAGGGACGAGAAACACAGGACCTCTCAGCAGGGAATTCTGAAGGAAAACGATTGCTGATACATACGCTGTCGCCGCCCAACTGACACACAAAGGCAGCGACAGAAAAAACACTGTTCAGGCAAACAAGTCTGAAAACTTTATTTCTGCTCACCTTTTCTCAGAAATGACTGCAAGGAAGAAAATCCAGAAAAGAAGAGATGGCATACAGGGACCAGGGATTTAGCAGGGAAGGGAATTCCCACAAAGGCAACAGAGAGAGATCCCCCAGCCTGTTTCTCTCCACCTCAGTCCCCTTATCTGTGACCCACAGAACAAATAACAGCACCTCCCCTACAGCTGTCTGGATTCAAGGAAGACCTGATGCAGAGTCAGGGCTGCAGGGGTTTCTGTATCATGAAAGAAGTCAATTTAACACTGTTGTCAACACATACTTTGACACAGTACAATAAAAACAATGGGCTGGCGAGATGGCTCCATGGGTAAGGTATTTGCCTCAGAAACTTGATGACCTGAGTTCAATCCCTGGAATCCATATCAAAGTGAAAGAAGAGAGCCAACGCTGCAAAGCTGTCCCCTGACCTCCACATTCACACTGTAGTCCCACACACGCACACAAATAAAAATTTCAAAATTAATTTAAAAAAGAAAAGGTGGGGATGGAGATGACGGCTCAGTGGTGAAGATGATGGAGATGACGGCTCAGTGGTGAAGATGATGGAGATGACGGCTCAGTGGTGAAGATGATGGAGATGACGGCTCAGTGGTGAAAAGCACCAGGTTCAGTTCCTAGCACCTGCAAGGCCACTAACAATTGTCTGTTACCCTAGTTCCAGGGACTCTAACACCCTGTTTTGGCCCCCTGGGCATTGTATGCATGGGTGCACTTGCATACATGCAGGCAACACTCATATACATAAAAATAATAAAATTAGGGGCTGGAGAGATGGCTCAGCAGTTAAGAACACTGGTTGTTCTTGCAGAAGACCGTGATGCGAAGCCCAGCACCCCCATGGCCTCGGGCACTTGACCATAGCTCCAGTCCCAGGGGATCCGACAGCCTCTTCTGACCTCTGCGGGCATTGCAGGACACAGGTGTACTTACCTACATGCAGGCAATACATGCATACTCATAAATAAAAAAATAAATAAAAATTTTAAAAATCTAGAAAAAAATAATAAAATTAAATAAAAAGAGAAGGAACGAGAAACTGATGTAACACACATTTCCGACACAAACTGATTCTAGCTTTGGAATGACCAAACAGACACAGAGCAACAGTCCTCGAGAGGTTGGCAGTGTTCTCAGATTTTCCTAATGAAATTTCCTTGTCTTGAAAAGGAAACCAAACTCTCAGGGGCCTAGTAAGCTGCCTGAGACAACACAGATGTTTAGAAGAGAGGAAATGGGGCTAACATGTAGATGCCTAGTTGCCTCGTTTGACAAATCCCCAAACCAGAAGGGTAGGTACCTAAGACGCCTCTAGCATCTTGAAAGGTTCAGGGTTTCACATACAGAAAAAAAATTACCATAGAAATATGTTGTACAATGTCATCGGGGTTTTTTTTGTTTGTTTGTTTAAACTTGACACTTGGGTTTCACATACAGAAAAAAAATTACCATAGAAATATGTTGTACAATGTCATCAGGGTTTTTGTTTGTTTGTTTGTTTAAACTTGACACATGGCTCAAGAGGTGTGTGTGTGTGTGTGTGTGTGTGTGTGTGTGTGTTTGTGTGTGTGCGAAATATGTAGGATTAGTTGGTCATTTTGGTCATTGCTTCCAATAAAATGAGGCTCCCACTGGAAGGACCTGAGAGTCATGGATCAAGGCCAATGTGGAGGCAGGAAAGTATGGGAGTGTGAAGGGTCAGCCTGCGTGAGGGTTTCCATGAAGTCTACCATCTTAGTCAAGTTCCAGCTGAAAATATTTGCAGAGTTCCAGCCAACAATTTGAGATGAACATAAGTAAAAAGAAAACTGCCTGTTTTCCCTGAACCTCAGAGGAAAGGTACATACTAATTTCTCATCTCTAAAACTAAAAATTTCTCTGTTTCTGCAATATTTATTACAATATATCAGTGCAGTTACCTTTGGAGTACATGCTCCACACCAGTGCAAATACCAAAGAGGTAACAGACTGGTTTAAATGTATCTTAACATTTTGACCATGTAGCTGAGATTTAAAGTGACAAGCAGAGTTCAAAATTTTTTTAAATCCAAATATTTTAATCCTTACAAGTAAACATTTCAGTATTTTTGATTGTGTATTTTTGAAAGTCATTCAAACAATAAAAAGCATGCATTGGTTACTTAGCCAGATTAATAATAAAAACTGTTTAGAAACATTTCCAATTTCTTCTATGTAATGCTAGAAGTGTACAGAAAAGATTTCAAATAGAATGTATGGTCATGCCAATACTCACAGGAAAAGGAGGATCCCAGTGTTGGCCAGGGCAAAGGCGAGTCCCAAAATCCCACTGCCCATAATGGCGTTGCTTAAGTTAAAAACAGACATCCCTAAAGAGGTTGTTCCCGGAATCTGAACAAAGAAATTAACATTCACACTGAACAGAAACGGTCTCCAAGCAGTTCATCTGGCCAAGACCTTTCAAACACTACCAAGAACCAGCACAGAGACAGTATTTAAGAAATCCTTTCTTTGTAGTCTAGTTATTTTTTTAATAGGTTTTATGAGAAAACATTAGCATATGAGGCATGTGCTAGTGAATACAATGATGTTTTTAGTACTGTGCTATATGAATTAAAACACCCACCCCATTCATGTGGACATAAGCACATACTTTGAAAATGACACTTACATATTCATCACATTTCTTTTTTTCCAAATGGCTGTTGGTGAGACTTCTTCTACTTTCACGATCAGAAATAAATTTGCTGTAAAGACATGCAGAATTCATTAAACTTTATGAAAATGACTGAAAGCTTAGCATCAAGATTAAAAGATTTCTAATTTTCTAAAACATACAGAGATGTCATTAATTGACTGCCTAACCATTTTACTCAGCACTATTCCCCACTGTGAGCTATATTCTTGTTTTACCAGATAAATTCGAAGTGCTCCTCCTCTACTATTCAAAAAGGCCAACAGCTGCTCATCTCGAATGAAATGAAGAAAGAGCTATACATTTGAAGTCATTTTCATAATAGTCAAAACATCACATGTTTAATGCGGATTTTTCACTAAGCAGGAAATTAGATTAAAAAAAAAATCAAACTACCATAAACCTGATATTTTAAAGAACACTGGAGGTTAGGTTCAATCTGGGCTCAGATTTGTGGAGTATGAGGTCACTAAACAGGAATACCCTCCTTCCTGGAAAAAAAAAAAAAAAGCAACTGTTTCACCATGAAACATTCACTCAGTATCTGCTGTGTACAAGTCACAGGAACAGGAGATGATGGCAGATACATGGGGCTGTGGAAGGACTCTAGGCTATCAGAGTTCAGACTGGGAAGTTATGGGAGAGCACATGGTCCATGGTGAGAGTCAAAGCTGGGGTTTTAGGGAAGTATGTGGGCCTCAGGACTTGAGCTCAGAATCTCACTAGATTCAAGGGTCTGGGAATGCCACCTTAGTTTTCTCATCTGTGAAATGGGAATAATGCTACCCCACTGCCAAAGCAGTGTTAGTGAGAAGATGAAGTGGGATCTGATACAGTGGAAGCATGGGCACAAAGCAAGAGCTCCAGAGGGTCCATCGTTGCTCTCCATGGGGAAAGGACTAGAACTAAGATCCAGACAGGCTGAGTGCAGGAAGCTACCTGAAAGGTTCTGAAGACCAATACATATGTTCAGAGTTCATTTCAGAACTTTACAGTATAAACTTCTAATTTGTAACAATTCTCCATTATTTCTGTCAAAGAAAAGTCTATGCACATGCAAAGTGTTGCTTATATTATTTTTGCTGTTGTTGTTGGTGTGTGTGTGTCTGTATGTGTCTGTGGGACCATGTGTGACCATGTGTGCCACAGCGTGCTTTTGGAGATCAGAGAACAACTTTGTGGAGTCCATTCTCTCCTTTATGAGGGCTCCAGGGATTGAACTCAGGTTTCCAGGTCTGTGCAGCAGGGACCTTTGTCCACCAAGCCGTCTCCATGGTCCTATTTCTTATATTCCCAAAATGATTTTTGGCCCTTCTAGAGAAATTCAATTATCTGGCCACAGAACAAATCACAGTGAATGTCTCATTAGTAAATTTAAAGTCACCTGAACCTATTTTAGAGAAGCATGTACCTTTAAGCTGTGCACAGTATTTTATGTGTGTTTTTGATGTTGCTATATTCCACGATAAAGCACCTTTTAAATGAATCATAGATATCAGTGATGTTGATCTTACTCATCTGCCTTTGTTAATTCAAGGGACCTGTATTCTCTCTCCTGCTACTTCTCCAAGTCCCCACTGTTTTATCAGAATAGGCCAAAGACTGTTGGAGGTTTTTACATGTGATTTTCAAAAGGTCAGTGGTCCCTTGAGGTCAGAACCAGGTTTTGGCACCATATGATAAATGAATCAGATAGATGAATCGGGTCAATCTGGAGGAAAGTACCAGGACACAGATTAAAAACTCTGGCGGGATAGAGTTTATTAGCAAAGGAAATTCTCACGAAACAATTCCCTTTGGGGGTCAGGAAAATTGTCAGCCCATGGGTTGTGGTCTTTATAGGGGCTTTGCAGGATGCAGAAGGTAGGAACGTATTTTTAAAAATTAGGCAGGTTTGGAGGGAAGTGGGAGTCCAGGACTTATCAGAAGAGCTTCTGTTAAAACCACCCCCTTCCATCTGTCAGCTGCCACCTGGGTCAAAAGGTATCTATTTATCAAAGGGAAAGCCTGCTGTGCTGGCCAAAAGGTGCAGAAAAGTCTTCTTCTCCTGACTTCAAAGACCAGGGTGCTCATCAACTGTTTCTGCATTCTCAGGGGCTTGCGAACTCCTGAGGCCCTGCTGCACTGGGGAGGGAGTTGCTGTAGGTCTGAACCCTAATAATCCCTGCACTCCTTAGGCAGAGGCAGGCAGATCTCTGTGAGATTGAGACCATCCTGGTCTACACAGTGAGTTCCAGACCAGCTGTGGCACAGGGAGACCCTGTCTCAAAAAAAGATCCCCCCTCAAAAAGCACATTAAACTGGTGTGATGGCCCAGACCCAGCACTCAGATGGCAGAGGCAAGTGGATCTCTGTGAGATCCAGGCTAGCCTGGTCAAGTTCCAGGCTAGCCTGGGACTACAGGGAGACCCTGTCTTTCAAAAAAAATTAAAATTAAAAAGTACATTAAAACCTTATCCACAATCTCCCTGTTTGTCTCTTCTAGTTCTCTTTCTACAGCTTGATGATGGATTGCTCAAAGTATCTTCGCTGGCTTCTCCACTGTTTCAAGTACAAATTCCTCCCTGAACACTTCCAGTGCTTAATGTGGTTGTGCCTCAGTGTTCCAATCACGGCTCCTCTAGACTCAAGAGGGTCCTCCTAAGTGTGGTTGGCTGAGACAAGATAAGAGCTGAAAATAATAAAAACAAAGCATCAGCGGGATCTGCTCTCTCTTCCACGCACCCTCCCCATAATCCTTTCCTGTCAGTTCAAGCCCCTTAGCCACCAGTCTTCACTCCAGGGTGAACTGAGCTTTCTGACATACCTACTCCTCTATCTGTAGCACACACAGAGCCCCTGTCACCTAGGGCATCAGACAGTGCCCTGTCTCTTGGTTCCCCTCTGTATGTACCTTCTTAACTTAGCCATTCCGAGGAGCCCCACAAACTAAGCAAGCATCTTCCATTAGGAACTGAGGAGTTAGGCTGCAAGAATATTGAGCTAGGTAAGAATGGGGCTTTATTGATTTCTGTGGGGCAGTGTGCACCAGTTATGAAGGTCAGAGAACAACTTTTGGGAACTGGCTCTCTCCTTCCACCACCTGAGTCCCAGAAATGGGGAATGGAACTTGGGTGGCCAGGATCCATGCTGTCCATGAGTGAAAGCCTCTTGATTCTCTCTATTGCCTCCACATTGGCTTCTCTTTGTTCTTTAAATTCTTATTTTGTATTTCTGTAAACTTTTTAAAAAGTGAGAATGCCAACCTTTTTTGTAATGGAAAATTCCATTCAAAAGAACTAGGCCAAGCAGCTTTAATCACAAGTTTCTGTTATCTCACCATTTTAAAAAGGCAACTGCTTGTTAAAAACCATTGACCTCTGGCAATGAAACTGACATAAATTTTCTTTCTATTGACTTAAAATGTGCCATGGGAGAAGGGATCTAAGAGATGAGATCTTAGGATGAAAAATATATTGCTAAAAGAGTTTTCACAGGATCAGTCAGTACCTATAAAGCAAAATTTGACCAACCAACAAATAGCCAACAAAACCCAACAACAGGTGATTTGGTGACAGAAAACTTTAAAAATGATGTAGGCATTATGTTCAGACACAATGTGAAAAGAAGCATGCAATATAAAGCTGTTATTAAAATTAGAAATAAATCAGCAACAGATAAATTAAGGATGCACTGTACAATAGAAAGGTCATCTTCCTACTTTAATCTCTGTCAATCAGGTTCTAAGTAGATGATAGCTTTCCATTTTCAGATTCATAAACCAAAGAGGTGAGAAAAGAAAGGAGGCAGGAAGAGCCACTGCAGGCCGTTCCCTGAACTGATGACGTTCTACAAAGAGAAGAAAGTGGGAGGAAACGGGCAAGAAAGGATCCGAGCGAGAAGCGGTGGCACAAGCTCTTGGAACGAGCACTCAGGAGGTTTGAGGCAGGACAACTGTGAGATCAAGGTCAGCCTGGGACACACAGCAAGCCCCTGTCTCAAAAAATTCATTTTTTGGAATAACAACTAAAAAACTAAGGTGAGAATCATGAAATATATAAAGACATACAAAGAACACACGAGCACTGAAAGGAAAGGCTGAGGGTAAGCAAAGCCCTCCTCGGCTGGCTGCCTCCACTGGACCCTGTTGAAAAGGAACTCTGCTTATACAACAGGAGCAATGGCTTCAAGAGAAGAATTTTCTGGCATGTTCTTCCCCAAAGAACTGACAGTATTAGAAGAAAGGCAAAGATAACTTTTCAAAGATTCTCTTAAGTTGGTACAGGGAGCAATGACAATTACCCTAAAAAACAAATCTTGATGAAATCATGTTCTTGGTTTATAATAACAATAACCACACACAGGTAGCAAAGAGAGGTATGAGAACTGCTCAGATTTTTCTGGACACATTTAAGATAACCTGCAACTACTTCACCGAATTTAAGACAGCAATAACAGCAATCTTTAAAACCCAAAGCAAACAACTGCTCCTTAGTGTGTAGAAGAAAGGAGGGGCTTGTCGAAGACACAGGGCTGAGGTCCTACAGACAGTTACTTCTCACACTAAGAGGCTTACAACTGCCAGGCGCAGGGCCAAGTACTTCACATGGATTTGCTCATCTGTTTTCATAATAATTAAATGTGCCTGGTACTATTTTAGAGAAATTAAATAACTTGACTAAAGTGATATTGCTAATTACTAAACTGCTGTGCCAGGATTTGAACCTAAACAGGTTGAAAGCACAGCCATTTCATATTCCCTAACAGCCCTGTAGCCTCAGAAGGATGGGTGTCGTGTGCCCAGTGAAGATCACAGGACCCATGCCAACTCAATCAGACGGGGGCCCAGAGTGGAGCGAGATAAATGGGTGGCTGGCCGGCCCTAGCCTGAGAACTGTTAGAAACAGGTTACTATTCTGTGCGGGACAGTAGGCCTTATCTACCATCTCTACTGAGCAGACTCCAAAGGATAAATTTGCACGGAATGACATCTGGGTACAAATGCTTGACTGGATAGGACTTAACATGTATGGTGGAATGCATGAGGGCCAGTGGGGCGATAGGATGGATTGGGGGGGTGTGTATGAGGGAGGAGATCTAAATTTGATCAAGAACTGTTGTATGAAATGTACAAAAGCTCAATTAAAAAATTAAGAAAAAAACAATCACAAATCTATGACAGCCTGGAGTCAATACAGGTTTAAATCCAAAGCCATGTCTCTGCCTCTGACTCTCCCTCCCTCTCTCCCCACCCCATACATACACACACACACACACACACACACACACACACACTTCCCCCCTTCTTCCTCCCTCCCTCCTTCTCTCTGACTTTTATTCAACAGATCATCTGCACTGTCTGTCCTGTCCCAGGTTCTGCGAGAAGATGAGAACGAGGCTTATAGAGGTGATGAAAACTGTGCCCCCTGCCAGGAATCGCATCTACAGGAAGTTAAGAGTAGACTACTCAAAAAGTTTGGTCCACAAACAGTAGTCTGGGCACCACTCAGATCTTGCTAGAAATTATAATCTCAAGACCCCGACTCCAGGCTTCCTGAATCAGAATCTGCATTTTAAGAAGCTTCTGTGTATTCCATATATACCTTAAAATGTCTCTGACACTGGTCTAGTGGGTTCTTTGAAAGATCTGCCATTCCAAGCACAAGTTTGTGGCTACCAGCCAAAACTTAGGGCATAAAAGAAACAACTGTCCTGGAATAATGGCAGCATCTGAATGCCCAAACAGCTGCACTCTATGAAGAATTAAACCTCAGAAGTGATTCTTATTGTATCCAGGGAAAATTTCCAGGCAAAGTTATCACCTACATCACAGACCATCCAAGATCGATCCCATTTTCAACATTTTCTTTAGCTCCTTCAAAGACACGCCGTTACCAAGCAGTTCAGTGTTTGGTGAAAGGTGACTCTCTTAGGTTCATGTTAACTGGCCCCATCTTCTCACAAATGTGAGGATGAGCAGAGGAGAGATGGGGAGGCAGGCAGAGGTTTGACTGGAACCTCAGATGATGAGAAAATACCAACGCAGAACTGCAGGTCACTCAACAGGGCTTCGAGAAAGCCAGCTGGGGTCTTTTAAAATGTCTATTTACTTTTATTAGCCTCTTGTGGTCATAGGTTGCGTTTAATTGTCTGAACCAGAGATGAAGCAAAGGCCAGGGCTTTAGCTCAGCAGTCTAGCTCGTGCCTGGCATGCAGGTTCAGGTCTTAGCACACCCCTAATCCAGAAACGAAACCAAGAATCATAAATAATGTTAATGAAAGAGGAGAAATAAAATGAGATCATAAAGAACTGCATGTCACTGCCTTAGAGAGCGGAACCCAATTCCAACAGCCAGTGGTCTCCCTGCATTAGCCCAGCTAGTCACAGTCTGTGGGGAAGTGAGCTCACCAGGCTGAGGCCCAAGTCTGTGTGAAGATGGCTGTTCCTTCCACCCACTACAAGAGACAAGGACCTCAAAAATGGAACCGTTTTAGTAAGTAGAACTTTCAAAAAAATCAAAGGTAAGGCTCTAAGCTGAATGTTATAAATGACTCACTTTAAGGCCCTCAAGGTGATACTGCTTTGAGAATGAAGCTTTATTATAAAATCAAAATGTCCTACTTAACACTGTTATGTAGAGGTCGGAGGGTGGGGGGGCACTACAGAATACTATAATACAGCACACAAAACGGTATGGAAGTATTAAAGCCTAACTTTCTAACCAAGGTCATAATCAGATGGCAAGAAGTAGGGAAGAAATACAGATTTAGACAGATCTGTATGGTCCTTGATCTTTTTGTGTTTTTTTTTTTTTCTCATTTACAGAACTCCTGCTTTGAGTGGTGGTCTAAGCATGTGTGGCAACAGAAACAAAGCACTTGGTATTCAAGAACTGGCCCCTGCAGGGCTGAAGAGATAGCTCAGTGGCTAAGAGTGCTTGCTACTCCTCCAGAGAACCTGAGTGTGGTTTATGGCACTCACACCAGGCAGCTCACAACCACCTGGAATGTGATTCCAGCTCTAGGGGACTTGACACCTTTTTTTTGGCATCCATGAGCAACTGCACTCACATGTACATACCCACAGACAGACACACATGTATACACATCATTAAATAAAAAAGAAATGGCAGTTACTGTTAATTTTTGCTCATAAAGGTGAAAAAAGCAAGAAAACTTGAGTGCAATAAAAAGAAACAACACCTAATGCAGTCAAAAATAATCTGACGACAAGCAGATCCACGTTGCAGGTTTAACCTTCGCTAAGGGAAGGAGAAAGGAGCTTCTCAGTTTCTGTAAATAATGACAGCCCTTTGCTGGGCTTTCAATGATATGCTAAGTCAGAATGCAATGATTTCTAAAGGACACCTGATTAGTTCTTATGTTCCCCATCCTTATCTCCCCGTGGCCCTAACAAAGGGTTGTACTGATGGTTTTCTAACAGAGTCCTGCAGGGCCGATGTGATGGCTCAGTGGGTAAAAGGAACTTGCCACCAAACCTGATGACCTAAGTTCCATTCTCCTCCACATGGTGGAAAGAAGGAATTGATTCCTGAAAGTTGTCCTCTAAGCTCCACATCCTTGCCTTGGCATGACTCATAGGCACACATGTGAACATACATGAATGAACACACACACACACATACACACATGCACATGCACGAATAAATGCAATTTTTAAAAAATTTTAAGGCTAAAGACACTTGTCTCTTCTAGCCTTTTCAGAGTCTGTCTGTGCCACTAACTCCCACAACCCTCGAAGGCTTCCTGCTAAGGATCCATAAACACTAGCCAAAAAGTCACTAAAGTCTCAGGGTGTTCTCAAGTCATTTAAAGCAAATACGGTTTAATAATCTCAAACCAAGAGCAGGAAGGGCTTGTCCAAAGTCGCACCGAGTTGCAAGAGTTACCAGACCAGTCCTCTTATACAGTGATGTGCTCTGTACACCACACTACAAATGACACAGTGATGTACTCAAGTTTTAACACATTTTATAGGGACACCATGTAAATTCAGCTTGGTTGATTTCTTGATTAAAATGTGCAGTAATGATTATGGTATACATTTGGATATGGAATGTGACGAAATTCCAACAGTCTGTCTAATTCATGGGCACAGAGCTTCTGAGAGGTTTGGGCTGGTTTGGGTCCAAAGTATTTATATTTTTTTATTAGATTCAATTGAAAGATTTGAAAAGATGAATAAATTACTTTCCTATTCACCTCATCTACTATAACAGACTATGCCCAACAGATGTCACATGAAAAATTTAAATTGCATCTTCAAATGGAGCATAACTTTAGTAAATGAATAATTCAAGAGAATAACTGAAGACCAGAATAATTGTCTAAGTCATTTCTTTCATTGGATGGCAAATGTGGAAAAATACTCACCTATTTATCTGCCCATTCTCCACTTCGGTGAAGTCATTGGAATCATTGCTGACATTATCATCTTCCGTCATGTTCTGCAGCTCAGTTAATTCCAGGCCACTTTTGAAGTGCATCATGTTTAGAAGGTATTTGTAGTCAAGAAATTAATCCAAATTTCTCCTCTTCTGACTGTCTTCAGAAGCAGATGGCGGCAAATATGTATGTTTGATAACCCTAAAATAAAGCAAAATAATGATTAAATCTATAAAAAACAGCACGGATTACAGATGACCAACTGTTAAAAGTAAACAAATAGTAAATTTGCCAAAAATGTAGCCTTTACATTTTGTATTGAATGCAATCTTCGAACTTCACATTATAGGAGCTCAACTCTAACTTCTATGCCTTTCACAAATTTCCCTCCATTTTGAAGTGTCGAGTGAGTTGTGTCCAATAATCTTTATGTTCACGTCCATGGAGACCCCGTGTTAGGAGCAGGTAACACCTACACTCTTATGAAACTGTTTCAAGGAGGTCAACAGGATGGCTCAGTGTGTAAGGTCACGTCCATGGAGACCCCGTGTTAGGAGCAGGTAACACCTACACTCTTATGGAAACTGTTTCAAGGAGGTCAACAGGATGGCTCAGTGTGTAAGGAAAGCTTGTCAGTAGGTCTGAGGACCTGAGTTTGATCCCTGGGACCACGTGGTGGGCCAACAGAACTAACTCCTGAAAACCATCCTCTGATCTCCACACGTGTGCTGTGACACATGAGCCCGGTGCCCACCATAAGTTAATATAATTTTTACATTTTAATATATAATTAAATAAAAGTGACTCAGTGATTTTAATGTGTTGGCTCCCAGGGCAGACAGGGCACAGACCGCAGGTACAAGGCATCTCTGTCCCATGCAGTGATCCCAGTTTAATGAGAACGCAAATCCTCAATAAATGACATCAAGGACCAACAACATGGTGGTCAACCAGGCAAAGGACACATTGTGTTTTGAAATTTAGCAAAGAATTTATACATCAACTGCAAGAGAGTAAATCAATCTCTTCAGTGAAATCACTCCATGTCAGGGAGTTAGGGAATTAAAAACTCATACTAGGAGGATTTTGGTTAATCCAGTGACTATACCATTTCCTTATTAGAAACCAAAGACAGTCAGAATTCATGCTTCCTCCCACTTGGATGGCTGTGGTGTCACTAACAGAGTATAAGGGAAAGAATCTGGGGCACAGCATCAAAAAACCAGAAAGAAGCTTGCCATAAAGGCAAATAAAACTTCAAAAACAAAGACCGAATCAGACATGGTGGCATAGACCTATAGGCAGGAGGATCTGGAGTTACAGGCCAACCTGAGCTTATACAGCAAGAGTCTGCCTCAAAAAGAAAGGGAGAAGAGGAAGAGGAGGAACAGGATAGCCCATATATGTATGTACGTGGTCATCCCTGGGATATTCAAGGCTCTTGGAACAAGGAATGTCAAAAAGCAAAATCTGATATGCCCATCCTGGCATCCCGGCATCCACCAAGCAGTATTTTATTCATCGATAGTCTATGGACCACCCCCCTCCCCAAGTCATGTAATTTTAGGTAGACTCTCTTTTCACATGTGACCACACTATTTTCCCCCAAGAAATGAAAATTCTATCTGGAATGAAATTTCTCTGGTGTCAGGATCATTTAAACTTCCACTGCATAAACATGTTCTAATACCTCAGGTTCCAGGAACCTCTCGCTCCTGCAGCACTGGGCATGTCAGGGAAGCCAGACCCAGGAGCCACTCCTCCTGGTCACAGGCAGACTGGCCTACCTACTGCAGCGGTGCAAGCTGGCCCAGCTCATACACATAAAATAAAAATAATAAAATCTTTTTTAAAATGAAATAAAATAAAATAATGTTGGAAAACATCCAATTCAGGGACCTGAGACAGGCTTACAGAAAAGTCATTGGGACTGGACTGAGTCTTCGGAACAAACATTATAAAAGAAACTCCGCCTAAGAACAGGCCACAGGTAGACGACGCGCTTCCTCTTCCTCATTTTTCTCTTTCTTTTTCTTTCTTGTCTCTCTCTCTCTCTTTTTAATCTCTAACCACCCCTTTCCTTTTTAATTCAACACTAAGAATTTTAGGTGGCTTTTAACCTACTTTTGTCATGGAGCATTTTACTGTAAGGATTTTGGAAGAGAGAAGTGATTTTTAAAAACTGTTGTTTCTGGGGGTTGGGGAATGAGCGAAGTGCTTGCCACAGGAGCATAAGCCCTGAGTTTGGCCCCCAGCACCCATGTAAAAGATGTGCACGCTGTGCTTGTGATTCCACAGCTGAGGGAGTGCAGGGCTCCCTGGAGCTTGCTGGCCAGCCAGGCTAGCTGACATGAGCTGCAGGTTCAGCGGGAAAACCTGTCTCCAAAAATAAGGTGGGAAAAGGATTGAGGAAGCACCTAGTCTGACCTCTGGCCACACACACACACACACACACACGAACAAGTACACACAAATACGTACACACAAATAGACCACACACCACACACTACATATAGGCAAAAAGTTAGTTCCTTATTAATAAATGCACATATTTTTATAGGAAATGCAACTTTACAAATGGAGGAAACAAAGGGACAAAGTGATCTGCTGGGAAGCAAAGGTCACCATTCTATGGCTTTCTGGGTTTCTCCTATGGACACAGATATGACGCCTCACATAAGGGATGGTCAGTAAATGTCTACTAAATGAAAGGATCACTCTAAATAAAAACCATAAACATTTACAAAGACCCAAATCATACAGAATATTGAGGACTTTGGGGTTTCTTTGTGTGTTTTTACTTTGGTTTTTGTTGTTGTTTGAGGCAAGATCTCATCTCATAGCCCAGGCTGGCCCTGAATTTACTATATAGCTGAGGGTGACCTTAAACTCCTAAATCTTCCTGCCTCCACCTCCCAAGTGATTGTTTTACAGGAACGCACCACCACGTTCAGTTCTAAATTTTTAAAATATATTTAGTTTCATTCAACATATCTTCTACCTGAAGTTCTGTCAATAACAGAAGTCTATGCTATTATTGCTAATGCTTGATTAATTGCTTGATGTGCCAGAAATGAGCATCCAATCTGTTATTGCTGGGTGTTCAGAAGCCTGCTGGAGAGACTGACAGATAGAGGTGGGGCCTGAGCTGAGACTTCTTACTAGAAGGAACCACGGAGGTTAAGAAGTGCATGTTAAGCTGAAGAAGCCAAAGACATACAGCTTCACTGAAGAAGTGGTGATTAGCACTGACGAGCTGGCAAGCTTAGCAATCCCAGAACCGGGGAGACTAAAGCAGGAGGTACTGAATGTGAGGTCAGCCTGGGCTACTAAAAAGGGGCTTTGCCTCAAAAAGGACGGGGGTATCATCAAGGGCTGGAGAGATGGCTCCGTCAGTAAAGCACATGCTTGCAAACATGAGGAGCTGAGTCTAGATCCCCAGCACCATGGAAAAGCCCAGCAGCTTGTCCAGAGCCCCAGTGTTACGGGGAGGGGGTGTGGAATGGAGAGACAGGGTATCCCTGGGGCTCACTGGTCAGTCTAGTGGAAATGGCAAGATCCAGGTTCAGCGTCTTGGCAAAATAAGGTGGTGGGCCAGTGTCCTAGTTTGCTTTTTTGTTGCTTTGATAAACGGCATGATCAAAAGTCACTTGGGAAGGAAAGGCTTTATTTGGCTTACACCTCACAGCCCAACATCATGTGAAGCCTAAATAGGATCACAAGGCAGAAGTGGAGAGTAACACCCATTGTCCACCTCTGGCCTCCGCATACACGTGCGCACACGTGCTCCTGTACACACACACAAGAAATCATTAAGGTTATACAATTAACTAAAAGGCAGACTGGGGTAATCCTATGAAGCTCTTAATATTAACCTAACCATACTTACTATCTCTCAATATCTATAATAGGTTACAAATTATGGTTTCCTCAGCACAGATAACTTGTGATCCTCACCACTGTCTTGTAAGGTACTTAAGTCAAGGATCAGTGTCTTGGTACATTTTACAACAGTACCATGGTAAAATACATAAGCCTGCTTTGCATTGTCCATTCTGTATGTACCAAAGGAGGGAATATACAAATAAACCTGTCTGCCTTAAGTCACCTGGAACCTATATCAGCAAGTAAAGCCATCCCATATAAAATGTTAGTACATCGGGGCTGGAGAGATGGCTCAGTGGCTAAGAGCACTAACTGCTCTTGCAGAGGACCCGGGTTCAATTCCAAGCATCCACACGGTGGCTGCGAACCATCCTTAACTCCAGTTCCAGGGGAATCCGAAGCCCTCTTTTGCCTCCACGAAAAATAATAAATAAAATATTAAAAGATAAAAATAAAATGTTAGTACATCATAAAACATTCAGTATGGCAGAGATCAAATGACAGAGAACAAAGACAAAAGTCCACAAATACATGTATGTACATGTTATATGCATGAAGGAAGATGAGAAGTAAAAAGAGAAATAAATGGGACTTGGAGAAACCAGGTAATGTTTTCTGAGAAGTCAGGACTTGAACTGTATGTCTAAGCATAGTTCAAATTTGTCTGGGGGATGGGGAGACGTACACTGGGGACAGTACTAATACTAGGTGGTTGGATGGCTAGCTCCATTATCTGTTCCCATGTCTTTCTTGGTCCAGTTCTGTGAAGGATTGAAAGTTACAAGCCACATTTCCCACACTTTCATTCTACCTATGACTAGATTTCTCCACCAGAGGTGGCAGTGGTAGGCGTAGGGCATCAGCTTTGCTGGCACATCTTCAGTAGGTGCAGCAGGTGGTAACGAAGTCAGTTGTGCTATATATGAGTCCTGGTCATCGGATCTGTCTCATGTGTCCCTGGAATAAGCAGTTGAGACGTGGCTTCCCAGTTCCCTGACTTCCTAGTGGAGATGCAGGTTCATCTGAGCAGGCTAGTTAAACAGTGGTACTATGATTATTGTTCCTAGAGACTCAGCCTAGAGTCTTTTAATTTCCTGTATTAAATCCCTTTTGCTTAACATAGTGTGATGCTTAATCTTCACTGTCAACATGACTGAGTTTGCAATCCCTGAGGAGACACAGCCCTGGACATGTCCATGAGGGTGTTTCCAGAGAGGTCTGACTGAGGAGGGAAGACCCACCCTGAATGTGAGCACCGTCTCCTGGGTTTCCAGACTGAATTAAAAGGAAAACGAGAGGAGGCGAGTGGAGCACGG